AGGCAGTTTTTAATTTGTTAAAAGCCATTTTAAGGTCAACACTATTAACCCCTTCAAGCTATATTTTTTCGATAGTCTACAGAACAAACCATCATTATACAATAACTTGCCTAATTACCCTAACCTGCCTAGTTAACCTAATGAACCTAGTTAAACTTTGTCACTTTAAGCTGTATAGAAGTGTCTTGAAAATTATCTAGTCAAATAATAATTAATGTCATCATGTCAAAGATAAAATTAATCCGTTATTAGAGATGAGTTAATAAAACTGTTATGTTTAGAAATGTGCTGAAAAAAATCTTCTCTCCATTAAACAGAAATTGGAGAAAAAAATAAACAGGGGGCTAATAATTTAGGTGGGCTAATAAATCTGACTTCAACTGTATAAGTCTTTGAGATTTCTCTTCATGTATGTTTTAACACTGAGTAAAGTTTATGTTCAAATGTTCTTATCCTTAAGTCGTTTCAGAGAGATTTCAGAGCAGCAGCAAATCAACAAGCTTTATAAATTTGTCTAGACTACAATTCATTTTAATGTGATCAAATGAGGCTCATTATTTTATTTTCAAAACGTTTTTATGATACTATTTAAAGTTCCAAACTAATACAAATCAGTTTTTGAGAATGTTTCAGTTTATATTCATCCTTACATTATAAGACCAAAACAATTGTGTAGATGGTCAAGATTTGGTTCTTTGATGACAAATAGTTAAAGTGTAGTTTAATAGTTCATTAATGTGTTTACCATATACATGAAAAGAAACTTTACAAGTACTTTAAATGCAAAAATCAGTACAACTGAACCCACTACACTTCATAACTTCAGTTTGATTAAATATAAGGATTATCAACAAATTTGCTCTCTATGTATTTGTTCACGCTAAGTAAAATTTAAGTTCAAATGTTCCTACCCTTAGGTCATTTCAGAGAGATTTCAGAGGAGCAGCAGATTAACAAGTTTTATTGCGCAAAACAACTTTAGCTCAAACTGTTTTCTCAGTGAAAATGTGCACAATTTTGTAATACATTGACTGATTATTTCAAATCTGCAGCAATATAATAATTTTAAAAGAAGCCACAAAATCAATTCAGAAACAAACTGGTGTTCAAAATCAAATTTTCTTCTTCGTAATCTTCTTTGTAACAGTAAATTGTAAAATCTTTCCTAGGGACAAATGCTGTACATTAGCTTTAGCTACCAACTCTATGATACATGCACTAAATATCATCTCAGTTTCATCAATGTTTACTGTAGCTGTCTCTAAACAAGTACATAAATTAATTAATAACAGAAAATAGACTGTGATATTAATGCACAGATCTAAGACGCAGCATCACCCCTGTTCACTTCTCACTGCTATAAGTGGAGGATATAAGAACTCGGATGAGGGCTGATCCCCATTCTACACTGGGTATTAAGTAGCGTTTGTGCTCTCCAAAGCCTGTCTTACCTATTAACGCCTCTGATGTTCTTTCTCATGATAATCAGTCTGTTACCCACTGAGGAGCATGGAATTGTGGGATGTTTTCAGAGGAGAAACACCCCCCATAACCCACCCCACCCCAGTGCACACGCTCTCTCTTTCTCTCTCTCTCTCTCTCTCTCTCACTCTCTCTCTCTCCCTCGCTCGCTCTAAACTCACAATCGAGCATGTAAGCAGCCTTTTAGAGAACTTATTACGGTAATATTTACATTTTGTAAAATGCTGAAATGGATTTTTAAAAGCCCTGCAGACAAAAAAACCCCATCTGAATCATCTTGAGAAAATGTCAAGAGGACAAACTTTGAATAATACATATTGAGGTGTCAAAAACAAAAGGACGCGCTCAGCAAAATACAACTCAAACTGACAGAATCAAAGGCAAAAAAAGGTTTTCAAAAATTAAAATAATAAAAGTGTAGGTCACACTTCAATTTAATGTACAATTCACACTATTAACAAACCATTAAATAAAATGTTTAGCTCAACAAATACTAATTAGCTAGGTATTGGGTAGATCTGACTTTAAAAGTGTGAATAAACAGTTATTATCTTAATAATATGCAGGTAATACATCAATCGTAAATAGTCTGAATTGTGACTTAAAATAAAGTGTTATGAAAGTGTAACATGGGTTTCTGTGCATTAGAATGTGTCTCGTTTCCTTTTGTTTATTAATTGTTTTTTGGCTAAAAAAGACTATCATTCATTTTAAGGATCATTCATTTTCATTTCAGTGTAAAAATATTACAGCCAAAATCCTTTATAACAAAATTATTTTGATGACATAATATTTTTCACAAAGTTTTACCCATTTGTTAGTGAAAAGTTTTAAATAATATAAAATACAATCAAATTATCCCTCATTTAAATGTATATCTAATAAGCAGAGTTCAGAATAAGCATCTTTAATTTTTATATAAAATCTTAAAATGTATTACGCTGAATTTTTTATGCGTATTGTGCATATTATTTTCAAGGCTTATTTTTCATCTTGAAATGTTATTTTCAGATGTTACTTAAAAAGCTTCAAAGTTAACACTTTACATGCATTTAACAGAATTTCTATGTATATAATATATCTTTTTCTCCATTAAAATGAGATGTCTTATCTTCGATCCATGTAACATGAACCAGAAATATTTACAAAATATTTCAAGTTCATTTCTCAGTAACCTATTAACTTAAAATGCACTTTAACATGCTGAAACACGGAACAGTGTTCAAATTAATTAGCTTCAATCAGTCAAAGCCTTGTAAAGATCCCTCAGAAACAAAATCAGAGCCTGTGCTGAAAAACTAAATGGTCCCAAACATCACTATATGCGTTTCAACATGCAATGACAAAAACAAAAGCACTGTCTCGTGACGATCTCACTTCCATTTCCTTATTATGTAGCTCAAGGCAGTGGAAGTGGAGGGCCATGATGAAGCAAACCCCCAAACAAGAGCTCGTCACAACCTGTTCTATATCAATCACTGCAAGCAAGACGTTTATAAGCAATTTTTTCAGTGAATCTGGTCAAAGTGAAATGTTTTGTTTAGATCATATTCAATGCATCCAATGCAAACACTAATGACAAGACAATCAAAAATAAGAGATATAAAAAAAGAAAAGCCAATGAAAATCGTTCAGTCAATAATGCATAGTAAAACCATTACTGTGTAGATTTGCAAAGATGCACAGCTACAGGTGTTTAATCATATATAGTGCTGCAATCTGGTCAACTGTTGGTGTATATGATATTGGAAAGTTATTCTGGTAAGGAGAAGCATAAACAAATTATCTTTATAACAGTTTTGACACACCTTATAAGTTAGCTCTTTGCAATAAAAAACATTGTTTTTCACAATCATTTTCAAAAATGCAAAAAGTTGCAGCTTTAGCTTTGATCACCAAATACAAAACACCAGCAAGTGTAACCCAACTTTTAAATGTCATGTTAGATTTTGAGGACATTTTTTTGTCACAGCTACAGGTGTTTAATCATATTGTGCTGCAATCTGGTCAACTGATAAATATTAGTCACAGTTATTCTTGTAAGCAAAAGCTAATTATCTGTATAACATTTTTGACACGCACACCTCTTCAGTTAACTCTTTGCAATAAAAACTTTTTTTCACAATCATGTCTTAATTTTCATTGCATTCTAAAATGCAGTAGGCTTGCAACTTTTAGCTTTGATCACCAAACACAAAACAACAGCAATTGTAATCTAAGTTTTAAATGTCATCTTAGATTTTTGAACACATTCAAAAGAAGATTTCACAAGTATTTTTGTCCCTTTAAAATGTCTCCACTGGTGGATTATTATTTTTATAAGCATCATCTCAACCAAAAACCCAAAACTTTCATTTAAAGTCCTAAAGCCAGCCTTGTTTACTGTAAACATATTTTTCACCATTCTGATTTGTCCATCAATGAACTTGCCAAATTAACAGGTGCCTTTAATTTGACTTTGTTTACTTTAAAAATTATTAAATGAAGTTCTTATAAATGTGCAACAAACTATTACTTATAATCTGAAATCCAACTTGCGTTCAATTTAGGAGGTTAAATATGTTTACAGTGTAAACTCACTGAACTTCTGAACATTTCCAAACAGTGATTCTTTAAAAAACTGTGCCATGATCCCCATGAAGCTCAGTAATATGCTATGTAAATGAACATTAAACCGAGGTGCCCCGCACCTCAACCACCGCTTGACACTCTTGTTTGTTAAGTACCTCTTGATAGGAAGACACAAACAAACTGTTTTTTCACACAAGACGCATTAAACAAAAGTCACAATCCGCCCAAGAACATCCGATATGTGGCCAACAAATGACGAGCAGCAGATAAGCCGCAGCCAGCATGGAGTTGTAATACTAAACAAACTAGACGAAAATAGTTGTACATTTACAGCCTAATGTGATTTTCGCAAAACAAGCGGTGAACTATTCATAGACAGTCGCGTTTTCATAAACGCATGTTTGAAACTCAACAGGAACGGAGCTCCAGCTCGCGTGTGTCCACACACAGCACTGGCAATAAATATTCAGAAATTAGTCAAAATTCAACTATTCACTCCGAAGTCACAAGGAACATCAGTAGACACGGTCAATCCGACAGTCGAGCAAATGCAAATGTGTCGGGTTGTAAACAAAACACATCCGCGGTGTATTTATCGATGAAGTTTACGAACGTGCAATTAAAAATTAAATACCCGGAGCCTCAACAATGTTGAACAGCAAAAAATAAGGCAAAAATAAATGACGTCGGCTCGACAGAAAATATCAACAGCGTTATTACAATGAAGCTTTCTTGTATCGTATCCCGTATCGATCGGCGGATGAATTCGTTGTGATAATTATCGGGATCTCATTAAAAAAACATGCACACATCAGAGCGTGCAGCTACATTATGAGGACTTGCAGAAAAAAACGAGCAGTTGCCACCAAAAAACTTTCCAGCGCCGCATTAGTCAATTTCACAAGGAACCACCGTCACATTCCAGCACCGACTAAGCGCAAACCTACCGTGGGAGTCCCACGCCACCGTTCCCGGTCTTTCTCCTCTTGATCTGTTGTTTGATTATTTTTTCCAAATTTTTTCTCTAATTTTTCTTTTTTCGGGGCCTGAGTGTCTCGCGCTCCTCAGGCTGCAGCAGCAGAGTTATGGGGCGCGCGAGCATTGTGGGAGTGTGACGTCAGGCCACTTTCACAAACTTTTCACAGGGGCTGGTAAACTGTGCGCGGGCGCGCGTGTGCATGTTTTTTTCGTGTTGTAGTTTTCACACCTTTATGATTAATGATGGATAGCGGCAGGATTGGTAAAGCTCGTCGCTGAAAGTGCATCGAAAGTAAAAGGATTAAGACAGATGATAGCGTTTTTAAATTATTTAATGCAGGCATGTTTAATGCAAGGTGCCTAAGTCAACAAGCAGCTCTGTTTAGTACAGAACGACGTGCTGTTTTGAAAAGAAATACATTTGTGTCATGTTACTTTTGATGAAGATTTATTCGAGCCAGTACAGACTGCACTTTAAGCAATTAATTGCTGGATAAAGTAAGAACAGGATGTATTATTTGCACAAGCGGTTACATTTGATGCTTTTAAATCATGATTACATTTCTGTAAATATGTTTTGCTTTAAGTAAAATCAAAGTGGTATCAAACTGCACTGATGAGTTTAATACATCCTGAATACTCTATACTCATGAAACTATTTATGATTAAATAAATGGAGTGCAACAAGCATGAAAACACTAAAATGTACCCTGGAAAATACTAATTATTTTAGCTCTTACTGATTTTTTGTTTGTTTTTTTGTTTCCCTTGTTTTTTTAGGCTTGCAACTGTGAAATAAAATGTAAAAAATTAACATTGATATAAATGTATTAATTTTAATTTACAATGTGTATAGATAGATAGATAGATAGATAGATAGATAGATAGATAGATAGATAGATAGATAGATAGATAGATAGATAGATAGATAATATTATTATCAATTAAAATTATGTTAGTTTTCCGTTTTGCATTCAAAGGTTGACATCTTTTTTTTAAGATCATTTTTAGTGGAGAACAAATTAATGAACAAGAACAAAGACAAAGATATTCAACATCTTAAAATGTTATCAATCAGTATTCATGTTGTTTTTCAATCCTTACCCAAACTTTTTGCATCAATGTTTATTTTCTCCCCATTCTGTTTTAATCAGATAGAAGGACGATTAGAGTACAATTAAATAATCAAAAGCAAAACATACAATTGACCATCATTTTATGGAAAACAAAAAAACAAAAAAAACATGGTGATTCTGGTTACTTTATTCAACTCTAAATCATGACATCGGGCAAAAACATGTTCATTCACAAGCAATCAAATTTATGATGGATTAAAAAAATCTGAAAGGCGTGATGTTGTCTGTCACTAACTCGGCTAGGGAATAAATTCTTAATTTATTATTTAACTGATAGATTACTAACATTTAAAAACAAGTTGGGCAAATAAATATTCGTATGATTTATTGAAGGATGAAGAGGTGCAGGTCCCACGTGCAGTTTCCGATGCTCCCGTTTCACCTTGTGTTTTAGGGGAAGAATCACTTCCAGGGCACAGCAGCCCGTTTCCTCACCACCCCAACCCCCTCCGACCAGCGGGTGTGTGTGTGTGTGTGTGTGAGAGAGAGAGAGTAGGGGTGGGGGAGAAGGGTCTTCAATAAGCCTCTCGACATGCTCAATGCAAAGGGGCGAAACCTTTCCGAGTTTTTATGTTAAAAAGAAAAAAAGAAAACTCTGCAGGAGCTCTTTTGGCACCTGAGAAAAAAAAATGTTTTCTCGGACGTTTCTTGATTTTCTTTCAAGTTTTTTTTTTTAGATTTGTTGTTAGAACTGCCCCACAAATCACATGAAAAATTTGTGGATATTGAATGATTTTTCGGAGTGATAAAATCAGGTAGTTTTGGAACGGAATTGTTGCGGGTTTTGTTTTGTGAGCTGCAGGGGAAGTTCATGAACGCGTTTGAGATGAAGAGATGTCTTAACTTGTGTGCATGCAAGAATTTAAAATGCCGCATTTCTTGTAAGTCTTTGTCTTTTAATTTACAGCCAACTTTGACTCACAGTTGCTCAAAAGGATCGTATTAATTATTTGATTTTACAATGAACATTTTAAATATCTGAAAGCATTGTAACCCTTTTCCCGACAAAAATAAATAAATATATAAAAATACCCACAACAGTTGGAAATTGTTGAAAAGGTTTTTCGATATCTAGTAGTCTAATAGGGAACTTGAAGATAAACCTTTTGTTTATAGTAATCTGTCAGAACAGCTGCCGTTGATGTTTATTTTACGTTATATGAAATAAATTGTTGTAAGTAAATAAAGCTGTTTTACTTAGATGTTATTACACAAAGGCTACCTTTTGACATTGAATTACACAGCAGCATAATTTACAAACAACCCTATTAAATAATAGAAAACCTCCGAGAAAGTGTCCACCAATATAGACTAGAATAGATTGAGTGATATTTTAAAAGATGTTAACTGTGCAGTCAAGACAGATCAAAAGGGAAAACCATAATGACTGTGGTGTGAGATGATTAAAGGTTAGGAACCGAGCATTTTATACAATAAAAAAGACAACATTATTCATTTATCAAATAGAAAGAGGATGGTTGCATCTATATTTATTTTCCTAAATGTTTAAAGATGTTTTGGTGAAGTCAGAGGTTTGTGTAACAATACCACTCAGATGTTTTGAAAGAATAATTTAAACAGCACAAACAAAGCTATTCATCAATTAAATATTTATTGAATTAACTAAGACATAGGTTAAAGATAGGAAGTGAATTGAAAATATTTAAATGTGTAATGAACTTTTTAAAAAGTGACCCTTTGACTATTATAAAAGCTGAATATTGTCTGTTTTTATACAAAGACAACAACTTTTATGTTGCTTTAACTTATTTTAATAAGTGAATCATATCAATAAATGAGATTCAACTAAAATTAACATTTTGTTTGTACTAAATTCAACTTTTTAAGTTATACACAACATAACTTAATATTTTAGTTATAGTTTGATTGATGTAAGTTGAGATGACTAGATCATTTTTGACTAATTAATTTGATTCAAATAAACAATCTAAGGCAACAAATTTTTAACAGTATATTTTTTATAGGAAATGAAAAACTGAATAAATATAAAAGAATGACAAGGCACTTTATCAGTCAGCAACAATATGCTATTCATAGTTCATGGTCATTATTATGGTTTCACCAAAATATCAACATTTCTGTGAAATATATATGCTGTCAGTGCAGTAGTCAGAGGCGGCATTTGCAAGCACACACAGAAGGATGTGAAGAGAAGGTCAGGTAAACTTCACACGCCATAAAGTAAAGGTGAGAGAGAGCTGCTGAGTGAGATGGAGAGCGCTTAATTTATTTAAACATAAGGTTTTAAAAAGTATGAACACCAAGCTAGTCATTTTTAAAATAAATACTGTGTAATTATTTACTTAAAAATAAAAACTTTTGATGTAACATTTGAAAATTTGCAACTTACATTATTTTAAAATATAAAAATAAAATGTCACACATAAAAATGCCCATATTAAAAATATGAATCGATATTCTGCCATAACAATGATGTAATATGTTGCATGATAAATAAAAAAAAATTGAAATATCACTTAAAAAGAGTTGTTTTTTAAATGTAAGGAAAACGTAACAAAAAAACAAACAATCATATGTATGTTCAAAGCTGATATTTTAAAATTACAGTGATATTGCAGTATTTTCAAATTATATATTTAAATGCATAATGAAAACAAACTTTCACAAACTCTCCTACTTCAACTTTTTGATTTTCTTAATTGTTTTTCTTAGTTTTATCTAGAATGGTGTCAAATCAAAAGGGGTAAAAACGACTTTAAAAAAGGGTGTTATTTTTAAACAAATACTGGTTTGTCTTTTAGTGAAATCTGTTGATTTTTTTTGTCATCTTTGTTGCATGACATGAACAGCTACAGTTCAAAAATGTGAAAAACACATTTGTATGTGTGTAAGTCAAAAACAATCAAAGAAATGTTGTACTGTCAGAACGTTGAACAGCAAGAATTAACAGACCTAAACCCCAAACAATTAAAGTATGGTTTGAATTTATTAAGACAATGTCATATATTATAACTATAAACTAAAGTGTACTGAAAGATAAAAAGTATCATATAATATTGTATCAAGGTCACTTTTTACCCCAGAGATTTTTACTTTTCCTGTGTATTGTTATTTATTTATTTAATTATTTATTTTCATATGTATTTTAATTTAATGCAAACCCTGGTTTGTATTTAGTTATTGCTAGCTATGTATGCTGGCTTTGTTCTGTAATAAATAAATAATAATTCTGTAATAAATTATAATCACACAAAAAAAAAAAAAACTATTAAAGAAATCTCAATATTCTTTTACATTTTTTTCTAAACAAAGTTTTATTTTTTTAAGTTTGTCCCCAAATTATAAATGGACATCCACTCATTACAATTTGTATCCACAATTATTAGGTTTATTTGTTTGTTTTTAATCAAAACATTTAATTTCAGTATGGTGTTGTTTCATCCGGTTTCATCTGGAAAAAAGATCAGACCCAGGGTCATTTCTGAAAATTGGTTGCTTTGACAAAAAATGACCCAGACTACTGTTTAGACAGCGGAGAGATTATTCAGAAAGTTTATCAGAAGACATGCTCTATAAAAAAAATAAAAAGGGCTCTTTGATGGCTTCACAAAGAAACGTTAATTTTCATATAGAAGCTCCAAAAAGGAGTTTTGTAGCAGCTTTGGCTTCCAGTAAAGAACATGTAATGTTTTAAATATCCAATTTTTTTTTTAATTTTCTTTAAATTACAGAATTACATAGATGTTCCTTTTGGAAATATAATGGTCAGTAAATAATATTTATGTAGATATCAAAAAATAAAACATTTACATTATAACTTATAGTGAAAAGTTTTTCATTTATTTATATATATATATATATATATATATATATATATATATATATATATATATATATATATATATATATATATATATATATATATATATATATATATATATATTTTTTTTTTTTAGATTATTTTTATATAAGGGTTTTTATACTGTCAAAAAGTAATTCCATGAATAATT